ACATTCTGATTCCGAATTTGATTTAACCCCAAACCCCCAGCCTCCAAACCCTCAAACCCTCAAACCCTCAAACCCACGCTTACACGTGCTGTGCAGATTGTGAAGCTGACCAGAAACTCTTCAAATGCAGTCATTGTCACCCATCTCCGACATGCACAGGTACGTTTAGACAGAATGTGGGTGAGATGTGGGGTGCGTCTTACCCACCCACGCACGCACGTGCACGCAAGCACGTGCGTGCAATGCTCCCTCAGTCTAAACTGCTGACTTCTCTCGCAATTCAGAGGATGGCCTAAACATCACGAAACAGAATACACAATGCAGGTGCGTTGGAAAGTGCACTCCCATCGCAACAGGGTTTGCATGGTTCCCCCAGCAGGGCTAACAGTCTCAGGGATTTGTTACTTGGGAATTGGGATGTTCCCCCTTATACTGACAGTCCTTAATTGGGACTGTCGTATTCTAATCCCTATTAAGGAGTGCTAGTAGAAGGGGGAACATCCAACCCTAAACCCTAAACCCTCAAACCCTCAAACCCTAAACCCTTAAACCCTAAACCCTAGCTAAACCCAAACCCTAAGACGCAGCCGGCGGAGTGGCGTAGGAGACGGAGGAGCACAGACGCCAGCGTCTGGCCGGTGGCCTGAGCCGCTTCAAGGTGTTACTGGGGGGGGGGTGGAGGGGAGGGGCAGGGGTTTAGGGTTTAGGGTCTAGGGTCTAGGGTTTAGCGTTTATGGTTTCGGGTTTAGGGTTTAGGGTTTAGGGCTTCGGGTTAGGTGGGCGCGCGCGAATGCGTGCACTGATTTCGGGCATCCGACCTCAGACAGTCTCGCCCATGTGAGCTTTTCCAATGTGCGAAGAGAGAGAAAGAGAGACAAAGAGAGAGAGAAAGAGACAGGCAAAGAGAGAAATAGAGAAGGAAAGAGAGCAAAAATCTTTAACCGCGGTTTAGGGTTTCCCTCTAGGCTGAATGCTTTGTGAGATCGTCAACCCTAAACCCTAAACCCTAAACCCTAAACCCAAAACTCGGCTGGTGTCTGTTCTATGCACCTTCACCATTCGCACCTCTGGCATCCTCCACCCCTCTCTCTCTGGGCCCAGTTTCCTAGGAAGACTTTTTGTTATCCTTGTCGGGAAATGGGTAGGCAGTGGAAGTAGGGTTGAAAATGCCCCAGGGCAAGTTGCAGCCAGTGATAACCGCCCTGCTTCATACCCCCATGTCAAAATCATGAAGCATGAAACCCAAACCCTAAACCCGAAACCCTCTTCAAAAAAACAGACCCCGAGAAGGGATCTAGCGTGAGAAGAGCCCTCATGTGCTATGCAGCACCAAGCACGAAACGATCATGTCGAGGCAGCCCTTGGAGTTTGGAATTTAGGGTTTAGGGTTCAGGGCTTCGAGTTTAAGGTTTAGGGTTTGAGGCCGGAGCCAGGCACGTCAGAGAGACCTGGGGCAAAAGGGTTACTCGATGCTTTCTAGTCCTAGCTCTTCACGGTTTAGGGTTCGGGTTTAGGGTCTAGGGTTTAGGGTGTAGGGAGTTAAGGGTTTAGGGTTTACAGGTGTGAGAGCAATAGGTCGAAACCCTTTCAGGGATATCAGCAGGACGCTGCGAAGACCCCCGGGCTGATGCTCGACTGCGCCCGGTGCCCAGGGTTTAGGGCTCAGGGTTTTGGGGTGACAGGCATAGGATTGGGGTTTAGGGTTTAGGGTTTAGGGTTTAGGGTTTAGGGTTTAGGGTTTAGGGTTTAGGGTTTAGGGTTTAGGGTTTAGGGTTTTTTAGGGTACTTAGGATTACTCTTCGCGCTGTTCTCCATTAATGCGCTTGCTTGTCGCACCCAAGGCCGAAGCCTCAGCAGTCCTGGGTTAACAGGGTTTAGGGTTTAGGGTTTAGGGTTTAGGGACTCAGCGCCCATTCAGGAAGGTGCAGGGCCAATGGAGTTTGGTGAACAGAACACAGCACACCCCCGCGCTCGGACTTCTTGGCTTGCAAGTTGAAGCAATGTTTAGGGTTTAGGGTTTAGGGTTTGGGGTTTAGGGATCAAGGGACTAAAGGCGGGACCCCTTTAAGGGACCTGGGGGGTCATTTAGGGGTTCTTTAGGGGCTACTTAGGTATAGAGGGACGATATAAGGTATATACAAGGGTGATTTAGGGGAAGAAGATTAAGGGTCCCTTCTAGGGGTCCCTCCTTATATCCCCTTAAAGCAAAGGTGAATGCCTGGGCAAGTGTGAAGATTGCACTCGCAACCTTGAAGCCCAAGCTCTAAACCCTAAACCCTAAACCCTAAACCCTAAACCCTAAACCCTAAACCCTAAACCCTAAACCCTAAACCCTAAACCCCTTAAAAATTGGGTGCTCCGTTAAGGTCGCGTCCATCACGAAAGCGAAGCTGCACCTGTTCATCGTCATCTTCGTGGCCTCTGCCCCAGAGACATGAAAAACAAAACCAAAAAAGGTTCAGGCTTTAGGGATTAGGGAGTAGGGATTAGGGTTTAGGGTTCGTCCGAAATACGGGGGAACCTAAAGAATTTCCTAACGTCATGTCCTGACAAATGCGGGAACCTAAAGAATTTCCTAACCTCATCTCCTGAGATTCTCTTGCTAAGCACGTTCGAAACTGCACAGACTACAACTTCTGTTCATGTACGCAGTGGGCCTTTTGTAGTACATGGGCCCAGGGTCCCCCAGCCTCATGGGGACTGTCCGGCCCTGCGAGGGTGTTTGTGGGGGTTTCAGGCCACGTGGTTTCTGTCTAAATTCGAGGACGCCCAGTCGTCTCCCTTCTTCCTGGTTTTAAGGTCAGGATACCGCAAGCCCCTGTCACAAACGAAAGGACAGGGAGACACCCGGTGACATCAATGTAACTACTCCCCCACACCAGGGAGTCTGGGACCCAGAGTAGGCCCGTAGGCCCTTTTCTTCCCCTTGCTTTAGGGTTTAGTGCCTTTTTTCGGCCCGACCAGATCCGCAAGGCAACTCTCGCTGGCTTCGTGTACATGGTGTTCCTGTACACTTGCGCATCGTTCCTTATTCACGCCCTGGCCCTGGCTGCAATTCAATTTGCCGGAGTGCCCTAGGCGTCCTAAACCCTAAACCCTAAACCCGAAACCCTAAGGCGCAGCTGCAGTAGAAGCGTTCTTTGGGTGCATTTGCAGCTAAGGGTATCCAGGGACGAGGATGTTCCTTTCAGTCGAGTATTCTAGGACTCAGGGTACGTTGTTCAGGCAGGCGCTGTGGCTCGGGGTGTTGATGCAGGGCCTCAGTCCTCCCTAACGGAGAGAGCCGTAAGCCTTGGAATGTTCCAACTTATACTAGCAGTCCTTAGTAGGGCTAGGAATAGGGGGTACTATCATCCCTATTATGGACTGACCTAAGCCTATATAAGCCCCAAACTCAACCACACACCCTGCTTGGCGGTTCGTCCACCAGCATTGCCCCACTTTAGGCTTACAACCCCAGCCAGGGCCACCCATGAACTCACAAATTCCCCAAAGCCCTAAAATACCCTTAATGCCCTACAGCCTTATATTCCCGAAAGCCCTAAACATAAACAAATAGTAGTAAAAATCCAACAAACCGAACCCGAAAGCCCTACACCCTGAAAGCCTCAACAGGCTTCAGGGTTAAAGGGCGCCAGTCGGCATAAAAAAAGGGTCTGGAGTCGGAGCCCTAGCGCAAAACCCTAGTAATATCCCAGGTTTAGGGTTCTAGGCTTTAGGGTTTAGGGTTTGGGGTTAGGGTTTGTCGGGTTTAGGATTAATAAAGCACACTTGAGGACCCCAATAGGGTTACGATTGGCTTATGGATTTCGTTCCATGAGCCGCCAAGCGCGAACCCGCCGCGAGGGATCCTTGACGCTCATCACCATCATTCCCATGGCCTTTGGCCTCTGGCACCTCATCATGGTGTTTCAAGGAGGCCACTGCTTCGGATTTAGGGTTTGGGGTTTGGGGTTTAGGGTTTAGGGCTCCTAGTTCTCTGACAGTACCCAGGCCAGCCACAAGTGTCTCCAAACACAAACTGCCACCATGTTGAACCAAACTAACCCTTGGCCCTGAACCCTAAACCCGAGACCCGAAGCAGTGGCCTAAACCCTAAACCCTACATTCATCCTAGCCAGCTGGCGTCCTGGCTGCTTAGATTGCAAGTGCTGCACCTGGACGTATCTCACCAAGATCCCCAAACACTTAGTGTTTAGGGTTTAGGGTTTAGGGCTTAGGGTTTAGGGCTTAGGGTTTAGGGTTTAAGGTTTAGGGTGGGCTATGGGCATCAAGATCATTACTTCAAACAATTCAAAGTTCAAATCGGGGATTTAGGGTTTAGCGTTTAGGGTTTAGGGTAATCCACAAGGCCCCTTGTGAATTACAAGTTCAAACAGTTCAAATCCCTGATTTGAAGTATTTGAATTCACCAAGGGCCTCGTGAATTCAAATCGTTCGAAAACTCCCTATCGTGGGTTTGACTCGTTCGATTTATATGAACTGCTCTTATAATTTGAACTTTGAACTTAGGGTTTAGGGTTTGGGGTTTAGGGTTCAGAGTTTAGGGTTTAGGGTAAGTTTAGTGTTTCGTGAACTCGTATTTACCGAATAATGCAAACCGGGAGCTTGAATTACTTGATTTCGCGAGGGCACTCGTGAACTCACAATTCTTGAGTTCAACCCTTTAAATAACAGCATGGCGTGTAGAGAAAAGCGCCAAATAGTACACAAAAGGCCCTCTCTCCTATGACAATTGCGTCACGAGTACTGTTAGCATGCGATGACTCATGTCATGCTTAGCTGGCTTTTCCGATGCGCCATCCGCAGCAAAAGAACCAGGCCTCGTGAGAAGCCTGCGACAGCTGCCTTGTCAAACGTACCCCCGAAGCACAGGGAGGGGGTGTTGGGGTCTAGGCTTTGGGAATGTTGGGATTTCAACCTAGGGTTTAGGGTTTTGGGTTTAGGGTTTAGGGTTGAGGGTTTAGGGTTTAGGGTTTAGGGATTGGATTCGCCGCCCGATGAAGCCATGGATGTGCGCCCTATGTGCCCTCTCCCTGGCACTGGCTGCTGACGACGAAGCGTCGCAGCTTGCCGCGTCTGTGTCGCGTGGCGACACTGAGGCAGTCGAATACCTGCTCCGGTCCAGGCACGCCCTCAATGATGAGTACCTTGGGGGCTCGCTGAACCCTAAAAGGGTTTTATGATTCATATACCCTTACAAGGAGAATTGTAGCGTCCGGGTATATGACCCCAATTTTACGGTTCATGTCGTTTACAAGGTACCGCGGCACATTGATCCGGAATGCCACCGCGGAAGGCCACGTCGAGGTTCTGCAGCTGCTGATCGACGAGTGGCCGGAAACAGGTTTTACCAGTTCTGGAGAGACCTTCTTGCATGTGGCGGCCCAATACGGCCGTGTGGACTGCTTGCGGCTGCTGCTGCAGCACTGGCCTGCAGGGCTCCAGGCCAGGAACGCATCCGGCGCCACGTTGCTGCATGTTTCGGCCTCCTACGGCCACGCGGCATGCCTGGAGCTAGTGCTAGACCGCTGGCCGGAAGGCGTCACGCTCGTTGACGGCACGGGCGTCAACTGCTTCCATCTTGCCGCAGCTGGTGGGTCTGTGGAAGTGCTGCAACTTCTTGTGGAGCGCTGGGCTGCAGGGATTAGGTTGACCACCAAGGTTGATGGTGTTGTGCCGCTTCAGATCTCAGCCTATTTCGGCCATGTAGAAGCCGTGCGACTGCTGCTGCTGCACTGGCCAGAAGGCAACTACGCACATGACGCGCTTTATGGATCGGGATCGTATCCCGTGCATGCTGCAGCTTTTGCTGGCCACATGCCCGTTTTGCAGCTTCTGTTGGAGCACTGGCCAGAAGGCACCGCTGTCAGAACTGCATACGGCTATGGCTTCACACCCCTGCAAATGGCAGCCTACGTGGGCCATTTCGAAGTGGCCCACGCGTTGCTTTACTCGTGGTCGGGTAGCTATGCCTCTGACGATCGCCTGGACTGCAAGTTCGTGCTGCATTTGGGTTGCGACCTCAAGGCTTCAGAGTGGAAGGGTGCTGCAGCCAGCCTCCAGTGCTCTTTTCCCTGGCGCTTGTCAAAACCAGAACCTTGGGAGCCCAGTGGTACCCTTTAAGCCCTCTTTTTTGAGTTCGGGGTTCCCTTATTAAAAAAAGAACAACCAAGAACGGGATACCCTTATTGCTGGGCTGCTATAAGGAACTGGAGTCCTGGCTGGACTGCGGTGGTGATGCTGGAGTTCGGGACGAGTTTGGAGCTTTGCTGGTGGATCTGCTTGAGGACGACGAGGCGGTGGAGCTCATGAGGAGCAGACTGAGGGAAACTGCCAGCCAGCAAGACTGGCGGTTGTGGGCGACTCCCGCTTGCTCGATCCTCGTGGCAGTTGCTGCTGTCCTCTTGGAGCAGCTCCTGGCGCAATTCTGGCGAAACAGGCGGCCTCGAGCCGCTCATGCGCAGGACCCTTTCATGGAAGGCGCCAAGCAGCTGGTGCGAAGAGCCTTCGTGAGATGTTTGGCGGTCAAGAGGCTCTGGCGCTTTATTGAAGTCTGGAGTGCATGCAACTGGTTTGGCACGGCGACTATAACCATGAACCCGATGTGGTGGTTGCCGCTAGTGGCGCTGCTTTATTGTGTTCCGGCGGCGATCATCCACGGACCACAGAAAGTGTTCCGTCGCCCAGTGCTGGCGATCGCCACCACAAGTTTGGCATCCCAGCTGGCCGCTGTGGCCCGGCATCTGACACTACTGTTGGTGTTTGCTGGCACCCATCATTATTTTTCTGAAACTGGCAGCACCGCGCGAGCTGTTTCGTCCTGGGGCTGGGCCCCAGCTAGTTGGTACCCGTGGATTACAAACCCACTCTATGACATCTGGTATCTCGAAAGGACCCAGGGTTCGTGGACACACATCAACAAGAGCTTGCAGTCCGATTGGCTGCTTCACTGGGCCGGTCCTGTCACGACACTTGAGATTTGGGTAAACGTATACCGAGGCGTAACGAATTTTGTTTCTTTTTGGACTTACCCCGCTTATTTGCTCATCATCATCCTTTGGCAGCTTTTGGCTGCCTCGCGCCTGCGCTGTCTGCGCCGTTGCACAGGCTTGGTTTGCGCAACCGGGCCCAATGAAGCTCGTGATCAGGAATCCTTGGAGAGAGCAGCGCTGGATCTTCTCCAGAAGCAATCGGCAGAGTTCTGCGAGGTGGACGCAAAGATCAGGCCGATACGTGGTTTCGGGTGTCCTTGGCGGGACTTTGGGCTCTACCAGAGCATGGTATTGATGTTTACCGACGTAGGCCTGGATGTCGCCACCGTGGTTGCCTTCCTTCGGCAAGAGCAGTACATCCTTGGCGCCATCACAGCCTTCGTGGTGGCGCGAAGCGTTCTGAAGCAGATGTACATTGTGAAGCCGTGGTGCCTCTGGCAGGCCAGTTGCATTTGTGATGCATGGGCTTGGGGTGAAAGGCTCCATTATCTTCAAATAATAAGAATACAAAAATAACAATGATAATGAGGAGGATTGCTTGAGCAGCAAGACAA